CCTGGAAACGCTCTGGCGCCCGGCTGGGCTGGGCTGGGCTGGGCTGGGCCGGGCTGGGCCTCCCCGCCTCTCGGCTCTCGGCTCTCGCGCCCTGCTTCTCCCTTTGCGCCGCAGATCCTGACGCGCGTCTTCAGCCGCGCCGCTCTGGAGACCTACCTGCCCCGGATCCAGCGCCTGGTGAGCTGGGAGCTGCGCGGCTGGTGCCGCGGCCCGGGGCCCATCGCCGTCTACGCTTCGGCCAAGGCCTTGACTTTCCGCATCGCTGCGCGGATCCTGCTGGGGCTCCGGCTGGAGGAGGAGCAGTTCGAGGAGCTGGCCGGGGCCTTCGAGCAGCTGGTGGAGAACCTCTTTTGCTTGCCGCTCAACATCCCCTTCAGCGGACTGAGGAAGGTACCGGCTGGGACTGTGGGGCCCCACGTTGGCTCAGGAGTTCCACTTGCACGGGAGTCAGCGAGGGGCCATGGGCATTAGCGCCAGGGAAAAGCACTTTGCACCTGCGCCCATTGCCCGTGCAGCTGAGAAAGGGCCAGAGCCTTCTAAGAAGAAAAGGGCTCCAGAGCTTCTATCATCCTTTTGCCTTTCCCTGTGAAAGGGAAGGACTTTCCCCTCCATTCAAGGGTTTAAAAATTGAAGGAGACCTGAAAATGGCATTCTCCCAACCCCTCAAAGCCTTATTGTCAACATAACCCTTCCCAACCTCCAGGATGAAGCTGGACTAATGGAAGATCAGGAGAATTGTGGTCCAGCTGCAACCTGGGAGATGCTAGGTTGGTGGAGGGCTAGAATAATGCCTCAAATTTAGCTTGAAGAAAAACGAGCAACCAGGGGAGCGTCCAGGCCAGCAGTGATCTAGGTTCAAAGTCACCACCCTGCATGCCCCTCCCCTTGGGTGAGCAGGCAGATTCCATGAGAAGCATTTCTCCTCCCACATTTGCCCTCTCCTTTCACACTTTGTGCCCTGAGTTCCTTGCACACCCACTGCTTTCCAGTCTTCAGGCTTTTCTCTAGGCTGCAAGCAAAGTAGGAGAAGAGAACACACCATCATCATCATCACCCCCCATCCCATCCCATCCCTGTTCTCCTGATCTATAACTGCCTAATTATGACAGGATCTTCTCTGGGAATATTTGTGTCCTACTCTCTTCCCACAGTTTCCCATTTCCCCCCTATTATTAGAACTTGAGAAATGCCCAGATCAGAAGAGCAGCCCAAGCAGCAACCCAGATCAGAAAAGCCAGCCCCCACCCCATTCAGGCTGCTGTGACCGCTGGTCATTTTGGGCTGATTACCAGCATCCTGAAAGAGGATGGAAGTAAATCTGGGCAGCTGCCCAGAGTCACTTGTTGAGATGGGCGGCTATAGAAATCAAATAAATCATAAATAAATCATCTTGCTTATCAGGATTGGCACACTTGCAAATCAGGACACCCCCATTTGGCAGTGAAAATAAGGAAGTTCTGCCCCAGGCTACCTCATTCAGCAGTGGCTTTATTTGAAAGTCATTTTGAAGGCCAAAGCCACAGCTTCTTTTATTTCTATTAATTGTTTAAATGTGATTTGAGTGAGCCTTTCTTGCAGAAGTTCAAGCCTGTCTATATAGCACACTCTCCTTCAATTCCCACCCCCTTCTACAAATAATTTTATAGAATAGACTGACTGAAGAGAGGCACTGTGTTCACAAGGCACACTAACCCAACGTGAATTTGATCATGGTTTAATCAGCTGATTCAGTTCAACACACTAAGTGTTGGGTTTGTCACAACAGATTAGTGAACTAATTTGTGCTCAGGGTGTCAGTAGTGATGTACTAACCCAAGCTGCCAGTAAGCTTCCATGGCTGTGGATAGGCTTGAACCTGTGTCTCCTGATCCTAGTCTATACTTAAGTTGGCCTTCAATATATTATGGGAACATAGCCACTAGTTCTCTCTTGATCTATCCAAGGCCCAAAGAGACTAGATCTATAGTTCTTTTGTAGGATCTATAGTTCTCTCAGGAATAAATCCCTGTGTGTTCAGTAAGGCTTTATTTATTTATTTCATACCTTCGAATCAGTGTTGACTCCTGGTGACTACCTGGACTACTCTGTGCAGTTTTCTTGGCAAGATTTAGAAGTGGTTTTCCATTGCCTGCTTCCTAGGCTAAGGAGAGTGATTGGCCCAAGGTCACCCGGCTGGCTTTGTGCCTAAGGAGGGACTAGAACTCATGGTCTCCTAGTTTCTAGCCTGTTGCCTTAACCACTACACCAAACTGGCTCTATTTTAGTAAGGTTTACTCCTGAGTAAATGCTTGTAGGCTTCCAGCCAAAGCTCTGATCCTATAGCCACTTCAGTTGAACCTTCACTAATATGGCATGTTGACTTTCAGCTCCCTTCATCCCCAACCATCTAGGCCAAGGCTGTTCTTCCTTTTGGAGAAAAGTGCAAGTTTGAAACCAGCGGATTTGGTTGATTTGAATTTTTCTTCTTAAACAATTCTTGCAGTGTGAAAAATCTCTGATCCATGCCCTCATACGCAGCTTTCTTCTTGTAAACCTCAAGGTGTAACTTTTCTGAATGAGTTTCTGAACCAGATCTCTGTGCTCATCTTTTGAATTATCCTCTGTTCCTCAGGGAATAAAGGCTCGTGATCTTTTACATACTTACATGGAGAAAGCCATCTTGGAGAAGCTGCAGAGGAAGGATCCTGAAGCTCGCCGTGATGCCCTGGATTTTATCATCAACAGTGCCAAGGAACATGGCAAAGATTTCACCATGCAGGAATTGAAGGTAATGATTTTTATGGTCCTGGGGATCAGTGGTTTTGTGCAGGGATTGACAATAGCCCCTGTCAGAAGATGGTGTCTCAGCTGGTGTAATTTTGTGGTATATCTGGGTTGAAAATACTTTTCTAGAATGGCTAATGTCTGGCCCCCTAATATTTATGGATACCAGGATAACACAGCTTCATAGAGTGCAAAGAAGATTTGATAGCAGTCACTCAGAAATTGGTTTTAGCAAGAAAAATATTTATTTGTAAAAAGGTTGATTTGTTTTTCTGAGCTTTTATATCTCTGCAACCCTGTAGACTCAAGAAATTGGTCACATGACCATGGTTCGGGTGTTTCACCATTCATCTGTGAACACATGCAGTTGTTTTAGCAATTTTAAACCAGTTCTTTCTTGACCTGAATACTGCATGCTTTACTTTATCTGATGTTGCAACTGGAGCTTCTACTTCAGGCATCTTCCCAGTGATCTCCTTGCCTAAACACCAGACGTCTTTTATTTACAAGATTACCCAGACCTTTTCCCCATCAGCCAGCTTCTCTGTCCATCTGTCTACTGACAACTCTGGTTGTCCATCCTTCTCCCACAGAAGCATTGGGAGGGGCAAGGGGGTCAGAGTGACCTAAACAGTATTGTGGCACTGTGACATAAGCCTGCCCCTCTTCTTAGTGCATTGCCTCTAAGGGACAAGGCTAGTGTTGTGACACTGCTTTTGCCATTCTGCAAGAACATGTGAATGTTGCTATTCCCTCACCAGTGGATTCTTCCCAGTGCCCAAGGCAGCAGGTTCCTTAAAGTACTTTCACCACAGCCCTGATCCGAAACAAAAAAAGCAAAATTTGTCATTTCCAAGAAGCTTAGCTTTGTCATTTGTGAAGAAATCCACTGGCTATGTGCAGTGGTAAATTTGCAATCTGGTAATCTGGATATTATAACAGATTTTTCAATTTAGTGTTCAGATTCCAACATTGGTGGCCATTGACCATGCTGGTCAAAATTATGGAAATTACAGTCTGATACATCTTGGGAAAAGTGGTAGACTGGCCTTCTAAATGCCAGTATGGTGTGGAATCTGGTTGTTTTAATATTAGCAACCAGTGATTCAAAAAGAGTTGGTGTTTCCTTCTAAGGTGGTTCTTGCTTCCTCCATTCCTCTATTGAGTTGAATAAACATAATGCACTGCATTGGGTGAAGCCTACTTTTCAGTGGTATCATTTTTTTTTTTTAAATTAATAGACTGCTCAGTGTGAACTTATGGAGAAACATTTCCATTAAAATCTGTGGTACTTTCTTCTACCCATATCCTTGCAGAAGTCTTCTGCTACTGCTTTCAGTTGGAAACCACCTTCTTGCTTGGCACCTGAAATCCATGGAAACAATCAAGAGTAAAAGTTTCATTTATCATCTGGCTCCTGGAAACAAACTGAGCTGGTTGATAAATGACGTGTGACATAAGCAGTTGCCTGAACTAGTACAGAAAACGTTTTTAAAAATGCCTTTTCAGATAATCAAACCAGGATGGTATCATGGGAACAATAGCATGTGCAGATCATTTTATAAAAGTCTGTGATAATTTTCAAAATGATTTGGATTGCTATTTTGATATTGTGAGATGGAATATATTGTCGATTTATTGACCTTGGTATTGTTATGGGCTGTGAGTAACTTGATACACATGAAGTTAAAAACTTCATTTAATTTTTTTTTCTCTCTCTTCATCCACTCTGTGGATGTTACAGGTGGGAGTGCAACAAAAAGTTGCATCCTATTCAGTAAATTTAGCTAGAAATTCTGGGAGCTGCAGTGCTAATGTATCTAGAAAGCACCTGATTGAGGAAGGCTGGTTTAGACCATACAGGTAGTCCTCACTTACCGACTGCAATTGAGACTGGCAACTCTGTTGCTAAGCAATGTGGTCATAAAGTAAAATATCATGTGCCTGACTTACGATGTCAGTTTGTTAGTTCTGGCTGTGGTTGTTAAGCAAATCACCACAGGTTGTTAAGCAAAATGTCACATGACTGTGGTTAGTCACTTCCTGCTGGCTTCCCCATTGACTTTGCTTGTGGGAAGCTGGCTGTGAAGGTCGCAAATGATGATCATGTGACTGCAGGATGCTGCGACTGTCATAAATGCATGCCAGTTGCCAAGTGCCCAAATCACAATCACGTGACACTGGTGACTCTGCGACAGCCACAACTTTGAGGACCAGTCATAAGTCTCCTTTTTCACCACTGTTATAATTTTGAATGGTCACTGTAGAGTGGTCAGTAAGTGAGGACTACCTGTACATCTGTTTTGTTTTCATCTTCATTCTATTAGCATTAGTAGCAATAACAGAGCTCAAATAGCAGAAAGTCAGATTGATTTTGTAGTTCAACCCAGTGCATATTTCCTAAACTGTTTTAGCCTTGGTGAGCTCCATTTCCCTGAGGAGTTAAGGCCTTTTAATGGCTATTTAAATAAATATGAGGATACTATGAATATGTAAAGCTTTGATTTTGAGATTTGATTAAATCTCCTGATTGAATTGAGTTTCTGAATCAAATTGTCCAGTTGGATACCTTTGAATTGACTCAATGTGATTTTCTAAATCAGTACAAAGAACGTTGCAGAAGGTTCATTAGCCAGTCCAGTTCCAGAGTCACAGGGTTTCAAGTCGGGAGCCAAGGCACATGGAGTCTGGGTAAACGAACGGTATGAATTGGATTGGAGCCAGTCCATAATCTCTAAAAGGTTACATCCAGATTAGACTACTGTCATGCACTCTACCTGAAATTGTCCATGGAGTCTGTTTAGGTAATTCAGTTAGTATATAGTATATACTGCATAAATTATGGAAAGAAAATTCCAGGGACTTTTGTCTTACGATTTCTATTCTTCTCACTTACACTGGCTAGTTGTTTCTGACCCTAACTGAAGGTGTTCTATCAAATGTTGATGTCCTAAATGCAAGCCAAGTAGTGTTGTTCCTTCCAAATATTTTGAACTTCATATACACGCACACACCTACACACAAAATACATGAAGATCCTATCTTATTCTTGTTTTTCTCCTCCTCTATACCCATCCTTACATACTTTAAAGGAAGGGAAAGAAAGAGAAAGGGGGAGAGAGGAAAACTGGGGGAGCAGTCAGAAGTTGGTGTTGTCCTGTCCCAAGCCACGCACGCACAAACACACAGAGAGGTGGCTGCAAACTTTACTGAGAAGTTTGTGAAGCAAATAAACAAGCAGCAAAGGAAATGTGAATACAAACACACACGCAGTAGAGAAAACAAGTCCCCAAAAGTCAAGCAAGCTTGCCTTAAGAGAGTTCAGATCCAAAACAGCAGACGCAAGAGTCGTCAAGCAAAGGCCAAGGATCTGAACGTTGCAGAAGGCTCATCGGCCAATCCAGGTCCAGAGTCACAGTCACAGGGTTTCAAGTCAGCAGCCAAGGCGCACGGAGTCTGGGTAAATGAATAGTTGTTGCCAATGGAAAGGCTTGAGCTCGCTGCTCTTCTTAAATAGAAGCAACCCCAGTGTTGCTCATTAGGAAGGGCACAGCTCCTTTCTTACAAGGAGCCTTTCAGAGCACCTTTGCTCTGCTCTGCTCTCTGCATGGCAAGCCCTTGCTCTGGGAGGGGGTGGCAGCTCAGACGCCCCATCTTCAGAAAGCGGTGGCAGCTGTGCCTCCTGGTTCCCGGATGGCACAACCTCTGCTGCCTGCAGCTTCGCAGGCAGCGGTTTGTCGGGCAACTCTGGAACTGGCTGCTCATTGTCAGTCTCCTCATCTGAGTCTGAGCTGGCCATGACAGGTATGGGGAAACCTTGAAGGTATATTGCCAAGGGCTTTTGGAATACCAGCATTTCCACAAGTGTTCAACAGTAACTCCTAGGATCCTCATAACTCCTGAACGACATTTTCAAATTAGCATTTTTCTTTTGAAAATCTGAATTCTAATCTCAGTAAATCTGAGATGAAAACACAAGTGACACTCAGGTTATTAATGGCATATGCATATAGTATGAGGAACAATCTTCTAATTCATACATCTCTATGGCTTGCCTTATAGGAGTCTGCAATTGAACTAATATTTGCAGCTTTCTTCACCACTGCCAGCGCTACTACTTCTATGATCTTACTCTTGTTGAAGCACCCATTGGTTATAAAAAAGATCCAGCAGGAACTAGTCTCTCATGGCCTTACTGGACAATATCAGTGCTTTGCTGCTGAGGATTCTCTGACAAAATACCAGTCTGGCCAAAAGACTTTACTTGCACATGAAAAGGAAAACAAAGATAGTGACTACAAACTGCCTCTTCCATCCAGACTGGGAAGAGAACAAGGCAGAGAGACCAAGAGGGAAGAGAAAGGACCCAATAGAGATGTCATGGCTAAAGGGTCCCAGGAAACTATCCATGGAACTACAAATGGCCCTAGCTCACTGTCCAGGCTGGAAGAAACAGGACAGTTCCTTTGCAGTCTGGAAAGATCTGAGTATTGTTGCCATGCTTACTTGACCCTGGAGAAGATGAACCGTCTGCGCTACTTGGATTGTGTCATTAAAGAAGTTCTCCGTTTGCTGCCCCCAGTATCTGGAGGGTATAGGACAGCCTTACAGACCTTTGAGCTAGATGTGAGTTGTGTGGTTTGCTACCTATCCTTTGGGTGGAAGAGTGAGGAACCTGGGTTGAGCTGGATTTTAGAAGGTTAGGCTGAGGATTTTATATGGGAACTCAGGAAGAACACTTTTTGGCTTCCTAATGATTTCAAGAAGTCTTCTGTGTAGAGCCATCAGATATGTGAGGAATCCCAGGGCCACTGGTAGGAAGCTGAGCTTTGGGTATGAGAAAGGATGTCTCAGATGGACTGTAAGTACTGTAACTAGGGATGAGAAAAACAGAAGAAGCTCAGTAAACAAGATCTCAAGTATTGGGTGGAGGACTATGATTATGAGTGAGACTAGAAGAGTTAGTGAAGAAAACTCAAGTAGGAAAGGGGCACAGAAACAGTGACAGGAATTTTTGTATGCAGGAGATCTCTGATTCAGTTTCTGGCATCACTGTTTTAGGAGTGGAAAAGAATACTGCTTCAAATGCTGGAGAGCTGCTATCAGATCCTGTCAGCAGTTTTGGGCAAGATGGATCGATGGCCTAATTTGATAGAATGCAGCCTCCAGAGAACTGCATATTTGTCATAAAAAGATTGAGAACTGGAGGAGGGAGTGAGGTCAAGATACTTGCTTCATTCAGATCACCAAAATGATTGTGTCCAATCCTAAGAATCATTTGGCATGATTTAGGTAGTATAATAAAGCCAATTTTAGTGTAATGGTTAAAGATGCTAGGGTAGAAACCAAGAGATTGTGACTAGTCCTGCCTCAGGCCAAAGCCAGCTGGGTGACTTTGGACCAGTCCCCCTCTCTCAGTCCTAGGAAGAAGGCTAGAGCAAACCAGTTTCAAAAATATTGCAAAGAAAACTACAGGGACTTGTAAGTTCCAGGAGTCAACACTGATTCAAAGCAGAAGGAAGGACGGACCAGTATAACTGCAAGTTATGATTGCTCTTATCTGGAATGGGACCTGGAACTGCCATTCCAAGGTAGTGCTGATGTTATACCAAGAATATCTCAGTGTACGAATATTCACTGAGACTGTAATTCTCACTAACTGAAGTAATGGTATTTTCTAAATAAATGGGTTTCCATTTATTTCTAAAATTTGTTCATTGACCTATAGCAGTAGTTCCCAGAAGGACACTGAAAAATTTTTTAAAGCACAGAATAAAATAACCGTGTCAAGCCACCCATTAAGGAGAAGAGATAAACTTAGTTAAAAGAAACTTAGTGAAAAATTGGTCTATTAATGAATTTTTCTCTCTGCTGTTAGTTGTCTGAAGTGACAGCACTTTGTAGCAGAAAATCCACATTTTAAAAATGGGTATTTATAGACGGTTAGTAATATTTTTGAAGTTAGCCAGTCTAAGTACAAGGGTAATGGATCAAATGAGTCTTCCCTCCTCCCGTTTCCAAAAGGTTGGATCAAACTGTTGCAGATATTCCCCCACACTTTCTGGCAGGTTGCATCCTGCAGGCTGCTGTCTGTGGTGCTGATTTTGTTCTGTCTCCTTCCCTCCCCTAAAGGGCTACCAGATTCCGAAGGGTTGGAGCGTGATGTACAGTATTCGAGATACACACGAGACCACCAGCATCTACCAGAGTCCCCCAGACACCTTTGATCCGGAGAGGTTTTGGGTATCGCAGGAAGACCGGGAGGATCACAAAACCTCTGCCTCCCTCCGCTTTCACTACATTCCCTTTGGTGGTGGAGTCCGAAATTGCATAGGCAAAGAACTGGCCCAAGCCATTCTCAAGATGCTTGCCATTGAATTGGTTAGCACAACCCGCTGGGAACTGGCCACGGCTGATTTCCCAAAGATGCAAACCGTGCCAATTGTGCACCCTGTGGATGGTCTTCAACTCTATTTCCATTCTCTGAAGGCTGACCATGAAAGCAGTGGAGCAAGCGAGGCCAACACCTGAATGCATAGACATCTCCGTTAGATCTCTAGTTTAGGAGTAGAATAAGACAGGCCTCTGGGGCAAAAGATCACTTTCTTTTGGCTGCTGTTTGGCAGCCTGCACAAGCCCCTTCTACCTCCCTCTCGATTGTAGGGGAAGAGGAAAGGATGAATGCCCTGCACTCTTCATTGAAGGCCTGTGCATTTGTGAGCATCTGTTCTTTGCACAGATGGGCATCAGTTGTTCTTTGGTCATCTTTAGTTGCACTTTTTGCTTTGTGTATGTGCATTACCACTTTGTCTCATCATTAAGAGAAGTCATACTCCAAAGATAAATGTCTTGCAAGAAGTGGTGGAAGCATTGGTGTTAGTTTTGTGTGAGGGCTAAGTATACGTAGCTCAAGCAAGCATAAAGTAAGGGTTCAGTTGCGCTGCAGTGGAGATTCTGGGATTCCTAGATCTAATCTGTCCCATGAAGATTCTTCAGGACTCCTCACAGCTTCTGAAAAAGACTGCTGCCCCCTTGCTTCCTTAAAAGATGGCTGTGCTTCATTTCTGATGGGGGAGAGCCTTTATAAATCAGTTGCCTTCAGAATGGAAAATGTTCCAAGTACAATGCAGAAGGGCCATCAGAAAGGGAGAGGCACCCAACAAAGCAAGAACCAACAAAAGAAAGAGCACCAAATAGATCAGAAGCTGACATTGCTTCAGAATGTGCATTTTGTATTGTGTTTTATAAGTAATTAACATAACAGTGTTCTGCATTGTAAACAAGAAAACAAGGTAGCCCTGGAACAGATTGATTTGTCAGCTTCTGTTAGGACCCCAAAGCACAGCACTAGTGGCAGTTACGAGTAGTGGCTCTCCATGGTTTCAACTCGGAGCCTTTCCTAGCTGGAGATGTTTGGAATTGAACTGGAGGCATTCTGCTTGCATGGCGCATGCTGTACCATTGAACTATGGCCAGCCCGATCATGGTATGAAGCCTCAGCCTGTTTAAATAAGCGAACTATTCATGTATTGGCATACTACGTTGTCAAGCAAACTATGGGTGGAATGTCTTAGCCTGGTTTATGAGCATATGTGCTTTTTATTTTCTCCTTTGTGTCCTGCAAAATGAAAAGCATTACGTTTGAAGGGATATAAGGTAGTTCATCTCTGAGATTTGACCTGGGATGGCTTGCTGATGTTTCCATTTTTCAGAGGGGTACCTATATTAGTTCTTGTAGCAAGAGTAAGGGAGTCTTGTAAAAGATTAACAAGACTTCTTACAGCACATGCAGTTATGGATTCGTTATGGATTTATTTCCACCTGTGTATATATTTAATTGATAAATGAAGATTAATTCCATGCACCTGATGATGCCTCTAGTCCATGAGTTAAGCCAGGGTGGGGAACCTTGACTTCTCAGATATTGTTAAACTACAATCTGTGAGCCCAAACCAATAAGGCCAATGGTGAGGGATGCTGGGAATTGTAGTTCAACATCTGGAAGGACACTGGTTCCCCACTCCTGCTTATACTGTACTAAAGTGTTTAGCCTTTCAGTCTGCTGCCTTGTAGATATATTGAGGCTATAATTACTAGCATTTTGTGATGGGTAATGGATTTTGTGAGATTGTAGTCTCAGCATATTTGAGGAGCACCGGTTTGGGGAAAACCAAAACTGCCATTAATACTTATCAATCCTCTTTAGGGAAGCACTTAGTAATG